AATATCTCCCTAGGTAAGTAAAAATGCATATGCATTCAAAAAAATGCCATCAGCAGTTCAATACTATTTATTTTATATCAAATGATAATCACAGGAAGTTTTTCTTTGTGCTGAAACACAGTTTGCATTAGAAATAATTTCTCACATATGCAACCTTCTGTTCATTTTTTGGTGAAATTTTTTATGGCTTTTTATATGTTTAACATTCTTGTCTAACTCTACCAACAAATTCTGCTGAAGATGAAAGCTTCCTTATATGAAATAGTAATGCAATATTAGTATTCCTTCTTTGTTTTTCTTTTTTTAATGCTGAATTAGTGCATTTAGGAAAAGAACACTGGTGATTATATGGTTAAAGTTATAGAATTCAAACTTTAAACTTTTTAATAAAATCTGAACAGATGATCTGTGCTTTTTTTTTTTTTTTTTTTTTTTTTTTTTGGAACTGGCAGGTTTCAGGCCCTCTAATTGGCTTCCCAGCTTTGCAGAGTAATTACAGCTTCAAGCAAACTTTGTCATCTGTGGTTCAGAATGGTGTAAAGTAAACAGAACGTTTTGAAATACAGTTTGTAGTTAGAGCTGCTCAGGAGAGTTTAACTAGCATAATTATTTAATTTAGATAGTACATTTTATTTGGAAAAGATAGCCTAACGTTTTAGAATTATCAGATTGTTTGTGGATATGGAGATAAAATTAACATCTGGTTAACCTCCTTTTTTAATTAAAAGAAAAAAATCAATAATTGAGAAACTTGCATTGCATTCTTTATTCTGGTTCTATTTCATTTTTCCATTTCTTATACAGATCCAAAAATGGCCAACCAACTACTACAAAGTTGTTGGAACTGAGTTGTTGATTTCTGTAACTGATTTTGTATTGTGCTGCTTTGAACAAATGTTCTGCCTCAAGGCTTTGTATCCCCTCTAATATTAAGGGGGAAATTTTTCATGACTGATGTTTAATCTCAAGCAAAACAGAAAGCTTTAGGATTAAAACGTGTAATTCCAAGTTGTAGATGGCTAGCATACAAGAACACAAAGTTGAGTCTGTCTGTTTACTGGCTTACTCATCTTTTTGAATGATAATTTAGACTTCCAACTGTTTGGAGTTGAGATTCAGCCCTTTAATTACATATGTTTATGTATAGTAGCAAACTTGAAGACATTATGGTAGAGTGTTCCCTCCTTTTGGTAGTGACCCAACTATCACTCAAGCTTTCTGAGCCAGCTTTCAGTAGCCAGTTTCACTCATTCTTGTATGCTTTTGTAGTTTCCAAACTATTCTGTCTAAAACTACTACATTTTTTTCCAGTAATTAGTAGAAAAATATTTTGGTAATTAGCAGTGTGTATTAGAGTACTTATTCATCTTAATAGATTTATTTATTTTCTTACCCTTAGGTGAAAGACATGCACAAACAAATTTTTATTCATGTTGCAGTCGTGGTAGGAATGTTGTTTATCCCATACATTTGTATACAGCAGCCTGTGAAACATGTGAGTGACTAAATATCAGCAGACTTCAGTTACTTTTATGTACTTCAGCAGGCTGAGTAGCACACACCACTTTCAGAAATACACTAGTTCTCCCCTTCTTTTTTGTTTCAGTAATTGAGGACATTTATGAATTCGCTTTTCCTTGTAAAAGCAAATTATATATTTAGCCACATTTAATAGAATATTTCGAAAAGCTCTGTAAGCTTTGCTTGATATTATTTTTGAGTAGCATCCTTGTAACGTATTCAAATGGCATTTTTTTAATGTCTCATTTCCTTTTTTATTTGCCACAGCATTTTTTATTATATTTAATTGATCTTGTTGATAATCTGTAATGAAAATCTGTGAGAGTTAAGGATTCTGTGATATTTCAGATCTTAGTATATGTATCCAGAGCTAAAGTAGTTGTTGTTACTAATGATGCACACCATCACTTTGAGAAATCTCTGAGGAAAATATGTAGTGCCAGTAATATGCGTATAGCTTGGTACAGACTTACATGGATGAACATACAAACATAGAAAAAATATAGATAGTATATTAATTATGCAAACTGGTCTTTTGACTAACAAGTTCTCTAGTTCTGTCTTGCAGTCTCTCCATTCTAGCTGCTATTTCTTGCTGCTGATCTTAATGAGCATTCTGTCCCCCTAGTGTTTGTTTTCCACACAAGTTGCAGTCTTTCTCCTTTGCCATTTATACTCTTTTGCCTTTATTCCCTGTCTTTTGTTCTGATGTCTCTTCTTTAAATTATTTTTGCTGTATGGATTGGATTTTACCTTAACTGGGTAGCTTCCTTTTTGTGCTGTCTGAGGGTAGCAAGAGCCAATACAAACATAGGAGAAAGAGCTTTCTGTTCAGCAGATATGTGGATAGGAGATAGCTGTAGCCTCTGGATTACTGCACAGATTTTTAAGAATTTTGTGGTTTAGTAAGTGTTACTGCAATTTTTTTTTACCAATCTCCCCTGCGCTCTTTCCTCTCTTGCAGAGAAAAGAACAGATAGAATGGACAGTTGTTACATTTTCATAGGAGTACTGGAAGGATATCAAAAGTCTTGGTTTGCCAAGTTTTAAGTCTTGTCTCCAAAATGTAGTATTTTCCAGCAGTGTGCAGCTTTAGGCAAACATTGAGCAAAGGAAGTTTCAGCCTACGTGATTGAAGTGTGATAGGATTAAAGGTGAGAGAATGGTTTAGTCAGGGGTAGGACCAGGTAATCCTAGAACAGACATGCGTGCAGTCTCTTCTGTTATAATAGTAGTCCTGTGCTTTTCTTAAAGCTGCAATTGAGAATTTTAAGAAAACAAATAGTGTATTCTTCCTAGAGCCCCCATCACTGTCGTTGTAACTTGGGCTTCAGCTGTATGCCTGAGGAAAGGAGTTCCTTTGATCTCACAGTATTTGCATCCAGCTGTGACCCTACTATATATCCTAAGTAGCTTCACTTCATCACGGTTCCCTATGTTCCCTTCATCTGCTTTTGTCCTTGTTTCTCTTCCACCTTTTGTGTGAAGTTCCCTCTTCCTGTGTCCATCCTACTGTAACACTTTCCTTTAAAAAGCAAAACAAAACAAAACATGTCACCTTGTGCTACAGTTCTTAAATTAAGTTGTTAAATCACAAAGAACCCTCTGATGTCAGAACTTCCCTGTGTCTGTTGAGGATGCAGCACAAGTAAGTCTGATAATGCTTGATAACAGCCAAAGGCCACTTCTGAGATAGTGTTCTTTAGATCTTCAAGTATGCAAATTAATACCTTGAGCAAAGGCATTAAGCTTGTTATACGTTAGTAATACATAAGATAATTGCTTTATTGTATTTTCAGTTTGTATCTGCATTTCAGAAGGTCTGCTGTGAGAATGCCATTTGTACAATTAACAGGTGTAAGAGGGAAAAGTGAAACAGGCTAGCAGGCACCAAAGTAATGTCGAATATTTAGAAATTCACTTGAGCTGATGCAGTTCGTTAGACAATATTTAAAACATATTCCTGTAAAATTATGGGTGATAGTTGAGGTGTCAGGACTCTGAATTTGTGGAAAAAAAAGCCAAGATAAAGTACTTCTGTGAAAGAACAAACTGCCTTGAAAAGTGGTACATGCCATATAACAACTTCTGTAAAATACTGACATTATCTTGAGTAAATAAAATGTATTTCTCCAAGAATGAAGGGCAAGGTTTTATGATAAGTTATAGTCAACGCCATGAACTTCATCAGGGAAAGGTGTGGACTAGCTGGTAGGTTGCAGCTCTATAAAAAGAAAGTTACAGTTGATCCTAGATGAACAGGAAATCATTTGCTGTTTTCATCATTGACTGATTTTGTTTACTGGATCAGTCACTTTATATCACGTTCTTGTTGAATTACCAGAACCCGGGCTATGATGTTTGTGTTAGATTTATGATAGCTGCAGGAAAGCAAATCACTCTTTTGACAAGTAACCTTAACTTCACAAAATAAGTAAATAAATAAATAAAATCATGTTTGCACAAATAAAAAATTTTAGTTGGTCAGTGTAGGTCAGTGTTTTGCATCATACAAATGTAATGTTTTAGTGGAGTGTGCAATGTTGTAAAATCTAACATCAAACATCAAGTCTTATCAAACCACTGAATTAATAGTGTTGTGCTCTTGTGACAGAGGAATTGAAGGTTGTCTGCTGTGTGTCTGGATTTCTGTGTCAGGAAAGATCTGGGATATGAAAGCACAACCTGTGAGCAACCTGTGACTGGCTTAATTGATTTAGGCCAGGGAAGACTGAAGAGAGACAAAATAGTCTTCAGATGTCTATAAGAAATAGCTGCTTGAAGAAGAGAATAAATTGGTTGGAAGGACAAGAAACAATGCTAAAATTATTTCCTAAAATGCTTGGAAAAATTAGTTTGCTCGCAGAGATTTGAAATTACTATTTTGGGGAATTGTAGGAAGTGTTTAAAGAAATATTTGAGGGAAACAGCCTAGATAGGCTTGTTTCCGCCTTGGAGTGCTAAGAGCAACAAGCTGGCTTCCTGGGGCAGCCCCAGTGGGCATGTGGGTGGTAATTCTATGTTTAATAATCAGACTGATTTCAGCATCTGAATTCTCCCAGATAGGATATTTTACAATAAATCTAATCGTGAGGTGATGGTACCCTTGTAATTGCGGCATGATTACCATTGAAGGAAAAACATCATACTCCTGCCAGGTACAGATGGAAAACTGTGCCTTTGGCTACTGCTGTTACCTTGCCCTACTGGAGCAATCTGGGATATAATATTCTCACCCTTGTAATAGACCTAATTTGCAAATGGAGATGACATTTTGTATGGGGAACAGTACAAGTTCCATCAATACCTCTGACTTATTTCTTCTACCTTATGTTCAAGCCCATGGTTATATTGGTGTTCTGTATTTTCTTTTATGTGCTGACTAGGTATATATAAGCTATATGTATCTTATGTAAGTAATTTGCGTTTCACACATTACCTGGAAAACATAAAGAGTGAAATATAATGTATTTCTCTAGAATGTCAGCTAATGAAAACAGAGCGACCAAAGCCAAACACATTTATTATCAGATGTCTTCAATGGACCACTGTCATAGAGAGGACGTTCCACGTAGACACTCCGGAGGAACGGTGAGAATTTTGTTTTTGTTTCTTTTTCAGTATTGGTTATGCACAATTTTCAACAGTCTCAGCTGGGATTGCTCAGTAGTCAGTATGCAGAATTCTGACATTCCAAGCACTTCTGAACAGTTATTTGAACAATTTATAAGTCAGCTTCTGTAAAATATAATCTGAGCTCATATCTAGTCTGCGAACTGCTTGCAAGTGGGATGAGTATGTTCAAATAAGCCAAAACTATGTCATGACATGTCTCCAAAGTGTTAAAATTTGAATAGAAGCCTGCTTTCGAGCTTTTTTCAGCTTTACTGTCTTAGATTTTCCTTTTAGTCTTCTTAATGTGTTCTTTTTGGCACAGAAAGCAATATGTTTGTTATAATTTGTTTTATGGTGTTTATTAGCTTTTCTTCTTTCAGTAAACATAAACACCCTCTCAAGAATTAAATTTTTTAAAGCACAAGTACGTATGGGAGATATGGGATGGCGTATCTCACTAAAATATTCCATTCTGTTTTTCTGGTTAGATGTACTGTGTCTTCCCACTGAATGCACCTGTCCTCTTGAGGTCAATACTATGATTTGGCTTTATTCATAGAATCACAGATTGGCTTAGGTTGGAGAGGACCATGAAGATCACTTAGTTCCAACTCTCCTGCAATGGTCAGGGATGCCAATTAGTAGGTCATGCTATTCAGGATCCCACTCTACCAGGCTTTGAATGCTTCCAGAAATGGGGCATCCACAATCTCTCTGAGCAACCTGTTCCAGCGCCTCACCACCCACTAAGTAAAAATTTCTTCCTAACATCTAGCCTAGATCTTCCTTCTTCTAGTTTAAAGCCATTAGCCTTGTCCGTTTATGATCAGACCATGTAAAGAGTCAGTCTCCCTCCTGCTTTTAAGCTCTCCTCAAGTACTAGAAGACCACAATGAGGTCTACCTGGAACCTTCTCTTCTCCAAGCCCAGCTCCCTCCACCTTTCTTCATAGGAGAGGTGCTTCATCCCTCTGGTCATCTTAGTGGCCCTCTTCTGGACCTGCTCCAACAACTCTCTATCCCTCCTGTACTGGGGGCCTCAGGCAGTACTGAACACAGCACTCCAGATGGGGCCTCACAAGGGCAGAGTAGAACAATCACCTCCCTCTCCCTGCTGGACAGCCCTCTTCTGATGCGGCCCAGGATACTGTTGGGCTTCTGGGTTGCAAGCACACACTGCTGGCTTGTGTCCAGCTTTTTGTCCATTAGAACCCACAAGTCCTTCTTTGCAGGGCTGCCCTCAGAGAGTTCTTCACAGAATCAAAAAATTGCAGGGGTTGGAAGGAGCCTCAAGAGATCGAGTTCAACTCCCTTGCTAAAGCAGGTTCCCTACAATAGGTTGAATAGATGGGCATTCATGGATCTTGAACAATTCCAGAGAAGGAAACTCCACGACCTCTCTGGGCAACTTGTTCCAGTGTTCCTTCACCCTTACTGTAAAGAAATTCTTTTGCATGTTTGTATGGAACTTCCTGTGTTCAAGTTTTAGGCTATTGCTTCTTGTCTTATAGCTGCACACTGCCAAGAAGAGCCTGGCCTCATCATAGAAGGCCACCAGATTAGTGAGGCACAGTCTGCCCTTGGTGAAGCCATGTCGGCCATCTTAGATCACCTCCACATCTTGCATGTACCTTAATGTGTTTCCTTGGATGATGTGCTCCATGATCTTCCCAAGTACAGAGGTGAGGCTCAGTGTCCTGTAGTTCTCCAGGTCTTCCTTTCTCCCTTTCTTTAATATGGGAGCGATGTTTTCCTTTTTCTAGTCACAGGGGTTTTGCCTGACAGCCACGATTTTTTAAATATGATGGAAAATGGTTTGGCAACCAGATCGGACAGTTCCTTCAGAATCTTGGGATGCATGTCATCAGGCACCGTAGGCTTGTACACATTCAGCTTCATGAAATGGTCTTGAACTTGTTCTACTCTTGCAGTGGGAGGAATTTTGCTCCCCTGACTCCCGCTTAGAAGTTCAGGGACATGAGAAGCGTGAGAATGCCTGTTAAGGCTTAGGCGAGGAACTTATTAAGCACCTTAGCCTTCTCCATGTCTGAGGAGCCAGCTCTCCCTTTCCATTTATCAGAGGGAGTACACTCTTGCCTGTCCCTTCTGCCCAAAGTAACTAAAGAAACCCTTTTTGTGGTTCACATTCCTTGCCAAGTTTAATTCCTTCTGTGCTTTGGCATTCCTCAACCCATCCCTGCACATTAGGACAGTATCCCTGTATTTTTCCCAGGCCATCCGTCCCTGCTTCACTGCTTGTACTTTTCCTTTTTTCCCCCAGCGTGACCAGCAGGTCCTTGTTCAGCCGTGCTGGTTTTCTGCCTTGTCTGCCTGATTTCTTCTTCTGGGAGTTGGAGCCCTTTTGTGCTCTCAGAAAGGCATTTCAGAGGGTGAGGCCAGTTCTGTTCTCTTCCTTTTTCCTTAAGGACAGTTTTCCAGGGAATCTCATCCAGCAATTCCTTAAACAGCCTAAAGTTCTCTCTCCTGAAGTTCAGAATCCTGACTCCACTCTTCGCCAGGCCCGTATTCGTTGAGATCATGAACTTGACTAGGATGTGGTCACTGCAGCCCAGGCTACCTCTGATCTTAACCTCTTTTATAGTCACCAGGTCCAACACCTGGTGGGTCTGTCAGTACCTGAAGCAGAAAGCATTGATGGAATGTAGGAGTCTTCTGGATTGCTTGCAGTGCACCATGTTGTTGTCCCAGCTGATCCATGGGTGGTTGAAATCCTCCAGCAGGATGAAGGCCTGCAATCACAATTCCTCTTGTAGCTGATGCAAGAAGTCCTCATCAATAGGCTCCCCTTGATCAGGTGGCCTGTAGTAGACACCAGCTACCACCTATCCCTATTCTTACGCCACAAGCTCTCAACCTGTTCTTGAGTGTTTCTCTGGGACAATTCTTTGCAGTCTATCAGCTTCTTAATGTAGAGGGCAACTATCCCACTTCTCCTTCACCTATCCCTTCTAAAAAGCCTGTAGTCCCACTAGCACCTTGTCTCTCTAGCTTAGCTCTACTGTCTCACACCAGCATATGGGCAGGCTTGCTTTTACCCCCTTTAACCCTAGTTTAATGCCCTGTCAGTGAGCCCAAATACTTTCTGGGCCAGAATTCTTTTCCTCCTCTGATCCAAGTAGACCCCATCAGTAGGCATTATTAGGTCAAGAGCAGAGTAAACTGCCCCATGGTCATACTGTTTATACCAATAAATAACTAATGATTTTATTTTTGCATTGTTTCTTCTTTTATTAGTATATTCACTTATACCATTTTAAATTCTACCATTTAAATTCTATTGTTTTCCTGATGCTTTTTGGAATTTAATTATTTTTGAGAACCTCTGATTCTCGGGGGAATTTGAAATTAGCCAAACAGTTTAAGTTTAAGAGGGAATAGACAAAGAGTTGAACACATACTGTAGATTAATAAATTTTAATTATTATTAATTATTAATAAATCTCAATTATTTTCTTATGGTGAGGGGGGACATTTCTTGACTGGATTGTTATCATATACTGTGTGTCAGGTAGGACATGACATGCTAAGTTCTGAGTAGTGTTATAACTCTGAGAAGAATTTTCAAGTTTTTAGTATTTAAGTATTTATAAAATCAGAGACTGTTAATTCTTGAAATAAACTAAGCACTGATTCTTTTTGATACTGATCAACCTTAGCGCCTCATCCATCATGCAGAATATGGAAGGAAATTGAAAATATTAAATTGTATGAGACTTTGGCTGTGTGACATGAGAACTGCATGTTGAAGCATGTAAAAAACAATATAAACAAATTATTTGGATGAATTTTAGAAGTTTCTAATAAGATTGTTGACTTGTTCATGATAGGGAAGAATGGACAGAAGCAATCCAGGCTGTAGCAGACAGACTTCAGAGGCAGGAAGAGGAAAGGATGAACTGTAGTCCAACTTCACAAATAGACAATATAGGTGAAGAGGAGATGGATGCTTCAACAACTCATCATAAAAGAAAGGTAATGACATTCAAAAATAACTAATAAGATTAATATATAAGTAACTTTTGCAAAGTGATCTAGTAGGATATAGAAGCAATAATATCTCTACATAAATTTCAGTGTACTACAAGTATAGAAGTACATACTTATTTCAATAAAGCTGTACTGCTCTAATTTTATTTATTTGTTATGCTGTCTGGTACACCACCTTTCAAAGGCAGAGTTCAACCATTCAGGCACATGTAAACAATCTGCTTGTTTTTTGAATATTATTTTTGTTTTTCCCTTTATGTTTGTTTACTCTTCCAGAAGTATGGCAATAAAATATTTTCTTCAGAAAAGTGTTTACCTACTTTCTCATGCAAGTAATGCCCAGTACAAATTAAATGATTTGCATGAGAAAGGATAGCAGAATTTAGCTTTTATTGACCTTTTTTTTGCTGGTTTTTTTTGCAAGAACTTTGCTTTAATTTTCATTGAAAACAGTATCTTCTTTCTTCGGAATCCTTCACAGCTTCTGCAGTAAGTAGGAATGTGTACAGTGCTGTCTATAGCACGCCTGTAGTTATATCTCCAGAGTCAACAGGATAAACACATTATGTTTCAAATATTGTGTCATGTAAAATTCGCCTTATTATTTTGGGTTTCCATTTTGTCCTGTGTTTCTGGATGTACAAACTACTCTTTAAGAATAATGAAGAATTTGAGTGGATGTTTCTCAGTTATTAGACAGGATTGACAAGACTCAAAAAATGCATTGAAATTACATGAGAAATAATAACAGGATTCTATAGGATTGGCTTCATTCTTTCTAGCTACAAAATGAAACCTGTGCAAAATTAAGTGGAAGTCTGCAGACAGCAAAATAATCTTAGCTAGTATCACGGAATGTGTCTTAATGATGGACAGTGAAAAAGAATCGTGAACATTGCAAGAATTATGAGGCAAGAATTCTAGAATGATCAGTGGCTGACAGCTGTGTCCTTAGGAATAGGGTGTTACAAGAAATCTTAATTCTGTCATTTCCTAAGTTTTGAGAACATGAGTTTGCAATACAAGCATAGTTATTTCATGTAGTTCCATTGTACATAATTTTCTATGCTTTTTTTCACTGCTTAAAAAAGAAAAACTTATCACATACAGGCATGACAATACTCTCATCGTGAACTGTCAGGTTGGAGAGCTTGACACTGAACTTTTAGCCTCGCAGCACAGAGATTTAGTGATTGTGCTCCAGGGTAAAATATAATAAGTGACAGCAAGACGGAGGCTGTGTTCAAGATGTGTCAGTCTTTATGAGAGGCAGTATGATTATGGAAGGGATTTGGGTTTGCTCTTTTAAAGATCTGACCACTATGCCAAGCTTGTGTATCCTCCTAGTAGACTACAAAAACACTGCATAACAGCAAGAGTTTTCAAGGTGTCAAAATAAATGTGGTCTAATATAAGTTGTTTATCTGAAACGTATGCTCTCCTTGTTCACAGTGCTTTTCCCGTACAACAAAAGTGTTATGGGAATAAGAGTAGGTGGAAGATCAGTTCTGTTTCTTTCTTGCTACTTACACTGTAAGTAGCAAGTAAAATTCCAATGTACCCAACTAAAATTCCAGGATAGTGCATGTGCTGTGCTATTGAATAAATATAATGTATTTCTCAGCAAACCAAGAGCAAACTACAAATCAAATGTGAAATAAAAAATGGTGATATTCAACACCTAATGACAGCTCAGAATGAAGTGTGTGTAGCCACTGAAAAGCACACTGATAGCATCAAGGAAGTTTTTTTCTGCCAAAACTCAAAATTCCACTTCAGATTTAAAACTTATGGAAGACCTAGCAAAAAGTGCTCAGAAGTTTTTTTTAATAACGTGTCCTGAGTGACCTTAATAAAGGGGACTCCCTTGTTGCTCCTTTTGTATTAATTGAAATTAGAGGATATAGTTTTTTGTAGAACTGTTTCTGAAAAGCTTCTGCTTAAGCATTTGTATTTGTTAACAGAATCAGAACCACTTCAGTTATATCTAGTTAATGTGTTGCCTTTTTTATATTAGTTTTCTTTCAATTTCAACAGTTCTTTTTTGCATACTGTGTCCAAAAAGCTTGTTTAGTCACCTGATTTTGTATCTGCACACAGTGAATTTTGCTTGTGCACGCTCCAGATGGTATTCATATGAGTAGAAGAGCATAATCAGATTAAGAAGTAAGACAGAGAAGTGGGTCTGTTTCTTCTCTTTAAAAAAAAAAAAAAAAAAAAAAAAAAGTAGCAACAGGTTTACAAAGAAAACAGTCTTTAAGTAATTGAACTTGCTTTGAACAGCCTGGCAGCAACATCTCTGCAGCATCTCTGTCCGTATTATCTGGAAGAGCCAAATACACCTTTTTATTTTGCAGTTCTTTAATGGTGCCAGTGTGCCACTGAAGTTCCACAGTAATATAATCACTAACATTTCAAATACAAAAAACAATTAGCAAACTGCTTTTATTCCTTGCTAGACTATTTCTGTTAAGTAAAATTTCTTCCGGATGAAGTCAGATGAAAATTCCCAGTCATGTACTCCTTGTGTATATCAGGAATATTTTAAAAGTAGTTTTTGATTGGTAGGAATTTCAATAACCACAGTAAAGTGTATTGTTTTGAAAAGAAAATACATAGCAGGAGTAAATAGGCTTTACAGAAAGCTGAAGATCATGCAGTTCTTTGGACAGTTTTCTGTTACTTGTTTGCGAATTTGTTTTTCAGGGTTCAGCATGAATAAAGAGTGGATTTTTTCAGAGACGCTGAAGTGCAACATAATGAGTAAAAAAAATACACTTCTCAGGGTTCAGTAGGAATGAAAAAAGTGGGAAAATTATGAAGAAAACAGAAATCAATCTTACGGAAGCCTCCAAATTTGCTTACCAACATTCTCAGGTTTAGGAAGTATTTCAATTTTTTCACCAGTTTTCAGTACACTCTTAGCTGTGGCATCTGTGTTTTTATCTCTCAAGGTCTTGTGTTCTTTGGCAGACTTTTTGAGTTACCCTGCACTGAATATCATCTCTAAGCCTTCTGCTAAGCTTTTAAAGAATGACAGCATCAGGATACTTTATTCTTAGAACTATCACTGCTACCATAACCTGCTGTTAAGCCACTACTCAAAATCTCTCAGAAGTATTACCTTCCTTTTATAAATCTGCATTTTAAAAAATCTGTTTTTAGCAAGATTGCAGCTAGATTCATGACTGCTTTGATGGATGATGTAAACAAATTTTAGGCAAGTGAGTTTCAATTTGACTGGCTTGCTGCCCTTAGCATCAAGCCCATGTCTGTGGTCAGTTGAGCCAATATCCTCCTTCTGTGTACAGGCAAAGGGCTGCTATTATGAACTGTCTTTGTTCAAACTCAGATGTTCTCTCTCTAAATTCAGCCTCTCAAGGATGATTGGAATTATGGAAAAAGTTACCCCTTCCTTGCAGCTTATGGTCCGACAAATTTTTGACAGTTAGAAGTGATGAACTTTTATGTTCATTAGGTATTCTTTGTCATAAAAGCTGTTGGCTTATCTGTGTGGGGGAATGCAGTATGAAGTTAGGGTGAACTGTGCTCTGGATTACTCATCTTCTGCCTGAATTGTGTTTTAAATGCATTTTGAATTTCACAGAATCATAGAATGGCCTGGGTTGAAAGGGACCACAGTGATCATCTAGTTTCAACCTCTCTGCCACACGCAGGTTGCTAGCCACCAGACCAGGCTGCCCAGAGCCACATCCGGCCTGGGAACTTACCAATGTGAATTTTGACAGTTTTCAATGCTTTAACTTAAAGACGGTTTCTTTTTGCTTGATGGTTATCATAAAACTATCAAAGTAGATGTTCTGACTTTTCAAAAAGACTGACTGTGATATTTGAGAAATGTTCCTTTTAGTTGATGGAATAGCAGTTGCCACATTGCATTTGGATCACAGCATTACGTATACATTATATCCATTAATGGTAAGAAGAAGAATTTTTTGAGAATGTTCTTTAATAGAGTAAGTTTCAGAAATTCCAAAGCTAGAACACATGACCTTGAATGTATTTCTTTTGAATTGATATAAGCAAAAAATTGTGCTGATTTGACCAGTCAACAGTGGGACAATAGAGGGACTTAGCTAAGATAAGAGAAAGTTTTGTTTGCATGTTTATGAGTACGCATGCATGTACATGTGCAACAGATCTGTTTTTCTGTAAATTGTGACTTTCCCATATTAGTTACTGTGACTTGTTTTGTATTTTGCTATTGGAATCCCTAGCTATGAATATGAGTGGAAATACATATTTAATGGAAAGAATTCAAACAAAACTAAAATTTTGGCTTGTAGTGACAATCCATGTATATTTTCATCATTTCTTTCTTTATTCTCTTAATGCTCCCCTTGTGTTTTGAGGTAGCTAAGAGGAATTAGATAATAAATGATATTTAAAAACTGTCAATGTAGTAGGTGATATATAATATACAGAATGAAAGTCATCTTGAAAGTCTCCTGAAGAATATGAATTTGTTATTCAAACTTTGTTCTGTCTGATCTGTTTATTTTAGAACATGTGTAATTTCCTTATCACTGTTTTTTTTTCTGATACTTTCTTGTATTTCTTATTTTAACTAATACATAAATACTTTTATTAGATTGAGTGTTTCATTTAAGAGTATAAATAATAATGTTCCTTCCATTTTGGAGATATCTACCCTCAGATTGACTGCATATCCTCAAAATTTATTAAAAAGCATCTACTAACTATTACTTGATATTTCTATCATTGGAGTAGCTTTACAGATTGATGGTTGTACTTTCTGGTAAAGACAGCACTGTCCCCTTGCAGAAAAAACCTTTAATTCCACCACTTAATGAAATCATTAAATCACTTAATGAGTGTTTTACAACCTTAGGAAAAGATCCTGTGTTTATATGTCCTGTGGTTATTTGCAGAGCTAAGAAAAACAGTTCTATGAACAGGCTCAAAGTTTATATAGGTTCTGGTAATAAATCCATGTATTTTTTTTACTCTTATAGTTTTACTCCTCCTTCCTAATCAAAGAAGAAAGCTCAAAATTATTTGAAGTTTGAGATAGCAAGGATGTGACTGCAGAAAGATTAAATGGAAGATAAATTTAGAATTCTGATAAACAAAAGGCTAATGTATTGAAAGGATAGTAGTGTCATAGTAAATATTTCTAATGAGTACTTGAATCAGTGTCTGAAATTGAAAGATATTTATAGAGAAGTAATTGTTTTAGGCTTTGGCTAAATATTAAAAAGATAGGTACAATTGTAGCTGAACTACGTACTTTGCCTGAGCTTGAGCAATGATTGTCTTATGGTTCTAAAATATGTTCATGATGCAGACTCCTAGAGTTCACTATTATCAGCGATTTCATTTTGACAGGAAAATGTTTCATAATTATTTATCTTAAAACCAATACAAGCTTCTTGTATTAATTATGTATCAATACATATATAGGCTTATAATTAATTTGTTTTTTTTACTTACTTGTAAATTTCCCTGGTTTTGTGCATCTCTAGTTGTAGCACATTGCAGTAGTTTTTGGAAAATCAGTTAAGGCAGTGTTTAAGTCCATGATCATAAACTTCAACTTTATACTGATTTGTGTGTGTGGCTCAGGTTTTGTGAGCTGATCTTTTTATATTGGTAATACCATTTGGTTGTTTGCAGAAGCATTTTGAATATATTTTGGAACTGCATAGCTTATGTCTTGCTAATCCTTGCTTATTCTTTGCTCCTTGTAGACAATGAATGACTTTGATTATTTAAAACTACTGGGCAAAGGCACGTTTGGCAAAGTTATCCTGGTCCGAGAGAAGGCTAGTGGGAAATACTATGCTATGAAGATTTTGAAAAAAGAAGTAATTATTGCAAAGGTAAGGAAGGTTGTATTTTTAATTCTTTTCCTTCCCCCTTCCCCCTTTTTCCTTTTTCCTTTTTCCTTTTTCCTTTTTCCTTTTTCCTTT